GGGTGCGTCAGGACTGCTAAATAAAAAGAGCAGAGGACAAATAATTGAGCTGAGGTTTATTTGTTGTTTGACTGGATAAAATGACAAAAGATGTGTTTAACAAACTTTATGAAGTAAATAATATTTGGATCAGTGTGTAGCTTGGACAAAACGTTTTTTGTGTAACGTGTCTTTAAACAAGTTGACAAAGCAAAGTCAAGCTGACCTGAAGGTGACAGAGAGGAAAAATAATTTATAAGTTCTTACCTTCTACAGCAGAATTGTGAATTCTCCTGACAGCCACGATTGGTTTAATGGATTTCTGTGGAGGGAAATCATGATTTATGTGTGTGTATGTCAGTTCATGATTATGATTTTTGGTGACATTAATCTGGTTATTCAAGTTAGTCTAGTTCCAATCATTTATTGAATAACTTTGAATCTCATTACAATAATTTTCAGAAACATATCTATTCTTAAATAATAGGCTAAAATAAGTTAATTTTTCACAATTAAAGGCAAATCTTGTCATAAAAGAGTAAGAAAATTGTTCTTTAATTGTAAAGGAAATCATAAAATGTCATCAAACTTTGTGATATATCTCCGTATTTTCCTCCAGCTGCTAAACTAAAATTGACAAAGTAGAATACAAAGTTTGAAATCTACTTTTACTTATTTTTTATAACAGTATAAAATCCCATCCTTGACAAACCATGGTATATCTTGCAATAGTTCTCTTATTTAATTACTTGAAAACTTTGCAAACTTCAAAATGTAAATGAAACATTTCAGGGCTGGGCTTAGTCCAGAGTGTTTCAAACAGCTTAACAACACCTCTGGCTGTTTTTGGTACGTAAAAAGTCTGAGTGTCTCAGAGAACAATGCCATTGTTGTAACAAAAGTCTGTGAGAGGTTTTCCACCAACAAGTGCTTTACCATGTTTAATAAAAGTTCAGTTTATTTAAAAAATAAAGAAAAACTCTTTAAAATGTACTTTTGTTCATAATCAATTCATAAAAGTGTATAAAAACTTGACTTTAGGCCAGGTAAGATATTTAGCAGGAAGTTCAATTTGCAAACATAAGACTGAACAAAGTATTTACATGTAAATAGAATGATTTTTACCTGG